TTTTAGGTCCCAATATTACAAGATCAACAAGCAACTACCCTGAGCCAAAATGCGATGTCTTCGTCCACAGCAATCTCTGTATTTGCCTGTTCTATTTCTTTATTTCCAGTAACTTTATCAGTTTCTTCTTCATATTCATACCTGTCCTTACCGCATTCACTGGAGCTCTCTTTGGCACATTATAATTGTCACCTTCAATTTCTTTAACAAAGTTAATTCCAACAGGAAATTCCTCTTCAACTTTCTTTATTTGCCTCCTCCAGATTCGCAGTTTCTCCATGTTCCCCCCTCCTAGTTCTGATGTATATTCAACATCCTCGTCTTTGCAGCTTTTCAAAACTGAAGCTCATTAAACGTCACTTGAGATGAGGTATATCGCAAGATCGCTTATCCTATTTGTTCCTCATTTCAATTGAACATGAAACTATGGAGAAGATAGACTTTGATCAAGTTATTAGTAACTTTGCTTCTGCAAAAAGCTCAAAAGATTAAAATATGATAGGGTTTGTTCAGCTAATTTTTGAATTTGTTGTTTTTCAAGTACTCATCAACGCCATTAAGGATATTTCATTTATATTTTGACTCCAAAATAGAGGGTGCCATTATGAATAAGGGCCCTCGGGCGGCACTTTGCCTCCATACGCCCTGGTTTCCAGTTTCTTTTAAAGTCTGCTTCAACTCTATACTCCTAATCTCACCGCTGAACTCTGAAATTTTATTCACTAATTAAATTTTGACTTCTTCAAGTCTAGAGTTAGCTTTCTTTCCTGTTATCTTGCGCCTTTCTTATGTTAATAAAACTCCACGCAAATAAATTCTTCCTACAGTGGCCCTTGGGCCCTGTACTGGGAGAACATTATTAAAAATATCGAAAATGATTAATTTCTTTGACTATATTTCAATCATTTAGTTTTGTTTTAAGCATTTTCCCAATACGTCTGAAACAATCTCTTGTACATTATTATTATTATTATTATTATTATTATTATTATTTTATACAGGTATTTGTGTTGATTGTTTATATTCGGTGACTGAGTGACTGCAAAATTCCTCGCAGGCATCAGCAAAACAGTGTAAAAACTTCCTAGAATTTCCTTTTCCAATAAACCCGCTTATCTTTTTTGGCAAAACACCAAAATCGCGCCAGCTATTATAGGAACAACAATATCATTCATATTCAACATTTTTCTGATCTCCCAGGAAAGGTCCTGGAATATTTCCAATCTTTTCCCTTTCTTCGTTTTCCCTCAGTGGTCCGTTGGCACAGACACATTTACAATCTGACAACTCCGTTCCTATCAGATAATGGTGTTCTTGTTTGGTTGGAATAATCTGGGAGTAAATGAAATTTATTTCGACTTTCTTCAACAGTTTCGGGTTTGTGCTAAGTGAACAAAATATATTTGCACAATTCTCAGTGTAGCACTATTCCTACTCTGTCTTGGGGACGTAATAGATAGCGGCTCGAAGTGAGAAATCGGAGAGATGGGTTCGTTAAATTTACTTACGCATAAATACATTTGGGAAAGGTATGAAGCAATCTTCTTCCCTCCCCCAGCTATAGAGCTTATATCTGGAAAATTCATTATTCTCGAAAAGTTTTTAATATAATATTCACTCGCCGAAAAAATATTCTTACAAAACAGAATATATTTTGGCTTTAAATAACCCAAAAAGGGTTGATAAATTGTAAAAACCAAATCAATGAATCAAATGACAATATTCACTTAGCTTGATGCATTCATTTATGGGATAAAAGATAACTAGTCTTTTTTTATACTGATAGTTCACAAGGCCCAAGAGTCACTCATGATAGAGAGTTTCTGTGCGGTATTGAGAGAGTAAGAACGAGGGCATAAGAAGTGCATAATAGTTATCTGTTGACCTTGGACATGAAGAGACCAATATTTTCAGGGAAGCAACCTGTCAGGAGTTTTGTTTCACAAATTAATAGTTCTGGGAAAAGTTGTCCACATAGAACTTATTCGTTTTCAAAGGAACCCAAATGGAATGGGGATGGTTTGAACTGTTGAATTCCATCGAAGCTGGATAGCGAGTATTATGCAGCAACTACCTAAATATAGCAGCAATACTCCATTTACGGTCTGATCTGAGTTTTGTAATGATCGAGCTTAGCAGCGGGAGTTAGGTATTTTCTGGAGCGATTCAACGAATCTACCATTCTCCACCATCTTTAGCTGTGAAACAAATATATACTTTACATTGGAGATTTGAAGGGATCTTTAGAACAACTAGACATTCAGCATTGAGCCTCTTTGAGGGTATGGTCACTCATCAAGTTTGTTGCAGGGGTAGGGTTTACTCGGTGGTGATAAAATGTTTAATTTGGTGTTAAGACGGGCCATGCCACGCCCATTGTAGTGAACCACTCTTGTTGCCTTCGTATTCCACCGGTGATATGAAGGTTCCATTAAAGCATCTTCTTCAAACGATCCACCATTTTGTGGAACTAACTCCCAAGATGATGTTTCTACGATCACTGCAATCATAACCTGTTCAAGTTTAGCGTTAATCATTATCCTCATAAAATGTTAAAGGTTAGGGTTAACTGTTAGTCAAATTATCTGTGCCTCTTTCTTTGATACCTACCTAGAGTGGTTCTTGGGTCTTGTACATGCGAATCTTATTCCCCACCCCAGAAAGAATTTAAATGATACAAGCCATTTTTTTCACATTAAGCTGTTAGAGATAGATAAGACGAGACATGAGCTGCCAGCCTATGGAAAACCAGATATTTAGGGGTGCACACGTACACTGAAATGTTATCTGCATACATACATACATATATATATATATATATATATATATATATATGAGAGAGAGTAGATAAGTTGGTCACTAAAAAAAAGTCAAACGAAAGGGCACCTATGAAATCAGTACGAAAAACATTTATTAATATTATCCGGGTGACAAAAATGAAGCACGAATTTTGAGGTTCCAAGTTCGGAATTTTCGGACACGCCTGTGTTCTTCATCAGCGGATGCGAGAAATAAACAGGTGGACGGTGAAAACTATCCAACATGAGTTAATATTAATCTATTATATTATAATAGATTATAATTATAATCTATTATATTATAATCTAATGTTAACCAAAACCAACATTAAGTTAATCTATCTATCTATCTATCTATCTATCTATCTATCTATCTCTCTCTCTCTCTCTCTCTCTCTATATATATATATATATATATATATATATATATATATATATATACAGTAAGGGTCTAATTTATTCTCTTCGCTATAAAGCACTTTTCCTTTTTCTCTGTCACGATGAATTTGTTGGTGACAATATTTTTGTCTCATTTTATTCGTGGATGTTTTCTATAAGAAATTTATATTTTCCTCAGAAGTTTTTCTCCCATTTTTCTGCCTTATGGCATCTTTGCTCGGACTTCCTGTAGCTGACCTTCAAGTTCAGATGTAAGATAAAACAAGGAAGTCGATTTTGGTTGACTGACCGAGCGTGAGAACGATAGAGAACGGGTTTGCAGTGAGTTGTTTTCTGAATCGTCAAGCAATGTAGATATGTTTTCTTTCGTGTCTGAAACGGTTCCCAATGAGGGAGCGACCTCACTGGTTAAGATGGAACATGTCGACATGAACGGTAATAAAATAGTTATGTTTATAATTCCCTGTGTTGAAGTTTCTTTTATCTATGGACTCAAAACAACTGGCCACGAGAGCAGAATGCAAAGCTATTATCGAATGGACGCCACACCAACCAAGAGGCTATAAAACAATGATATCGGTTACTGATAAGTTTATTTTCGGGTCATCTCTTGGGACTTTAGAAAATAAACCTGTCATTTGTTCTTTTCAGCGTCAGGTTGTAACCAATTATTTTTCAAGTACTCTTGCTTTTTCCAGTAGGCGAGTTTGTTTCAACCCATTGGAATGACAATCCCCGTTTATACATTTAACTATCGTCATTTACTCCACACGGCGTATTTTTGTCATGGCTCTTTCCAAATAAAGGTTTTTTTTTTATTTTCCCGTGCATTTTTTAACAATACGCCAATGCTGCAATGACCAATGCAACTGCAATTTCTTTCCTTATTCTTTCCAAATTTCCGAAATTTCATGCACCAAATCATTGTAGTTGTCGAACTTGTTTTCTTTGCTTTCAATATTTCTGTCAAATGGATAGCAAGTTTGTCTATATTTCTGAGATAAGGTATTATGTACAGTATTTACATTAGTCGGACTATTGTCCTCATCTTTGTCGCCATATTTGTCACAACGTTTCGGCCGTTGTACGCTCCGGCCTTCTTCAGGTGGTTGGAATTTCGAACTGAATCCTTTATTTCGATCACTGGGGTAGACTGTTCTAGTTCCACGTGCCATGTTTGATGGATGTCAGTTATCAGTTATCTCCTGCTAATTTTCCTTCTGAAAGTTCTTCACTGCCTTAACCAGGTATTGAACTCACCTTCTTTTTGGGTCTGTCACTGGATCTAACCAACGCCTTTATCCACTGTGCCATGTGTCCTTGAGGACACATGGCACAGTGTCCTTATGGCGATAAAGATGAGGACAATAGTCCGACTAATGTAAATACTGGATAGCAAGTTTTTGTTCTGCTTATCCAGCTGCTATGTTTCTGATTTCTTGTGAACTAAAGTTGTCACTATTAGTATCGGAATATACTATATCATTTTCATTTTCTTATTCTCCAGGTGTTTTTTCTTTTGTGACCTCATGTTCATGTATTTACCACTACATTCAAACCGGTATTTTTTTCACAATTTGCAATGAATAATGAGAGCAAATTCATTTCTTATACTCTTTCCGAACCTTCAGCTCAAGATCAGATATCATCATCATTATTATTGTTGTTGTTGTTGTTGTTATTAGGTTGTATCAAAAATATTTTCTCTTTTTATAGAGTTTTTTATTCTCTTTTGCAATCACAGGTTCAAAATACTTGACTCTCCATTCACATCCGGACTTTTGACACAATTTCCAATAAATAATGGCAGCAATCTCATGTCTTTTTTTTTTTTTTTTTGCTGATGACATTATTGCTGTTCTTTCTTGTTCGGTTTGTTTTTATTTTTCTCTCCCCTTATTTCTTTTATTTTTTCTTTTTTTCTTTCTTTTTATTTTTTGCCCTGGTTGTTTTTTTTTTTCTAGCTTTTTTTCTTTTCCTTGTTTTTTTTCTTTTGTTTTCCTTTTGTTTTATTTTTTTATTTTTTATTTTTGTCTTTTTTTCTGTCTTTTGTCCATTTTCGTTGTTGTCTTTTTTCGTTGTTGTCTTTTTTTCGTTTCTCCTTGTCTTTTGTTTTGTCTTCCTTCTTGTTTTATGTATTTTCCTGATTTGCTGTTTGATACAATCCATTACCAAAATTTAATCCAGAGACATAAGGTAAAGGGAAGATTTTCGTAGAAAGTTACTGAGCATATTACATTAAATTGTGTTATTTGAGTAAGTGAGCGGTTCTCATAAGAACAATTTTTGAATCTTAGTGATGGCTTGCTTTTTTATTTTATTTATTTGTATCCGTATTATTTTAATCAATCATAGGACTTTTATTACTAATGAAATAATGTTTCCTTTAAATAACAGGTTTTTGCATTTTCTGTTTCTACGTTGTTTTTTATCAGATTTTTGTCATGCCTATGATATAGCACTTAGCATTATTGAAGTCCTTTAATACTAGATTTGGCCTGTATAAAATGGTCACTATGGATGGTAAAGTCCCGGAGAATTTAAACTCATTCACAATATATCAACGGGGGTGATTTGTGCCCATATCAATTTTTTACATGACATGGATTTTGGATGATCAATAGTTTCCTCAGCGTTTGCAGAGAATCAACATTTTGCTTATTTTCCATTCATTAAAATGTATCTGGTAGTACCTTGTGGGCATCTTTTGATCTTCAGCTGCTAAGATGAATCCCTGCGTTTAGGATTTTAACCTAAAGCTCCCCAGTCACGGCAATGGATATCAGTAATGTAAGGGTTTTTTTCAAGTTCAGATGTAAGATAAAACAAGGAAGTCGATTTTGATTGATTGACCGAGCGTGAGAACAATACCGCGTAGAAACCCTCTATCCTGAGTGGCTCTTGGGATCTTCCAATTTTTTGCAAGTAAAATTTTTTTTTAGTATTTTGGCCTCTAATTTTGTATTTCAGCCATTATTATTATTATTATTATTATTATTATTATTATTATTATTATTATTATTATTGTATATTTCCACGTATAATGTGACCTATAGATAAAACGAGACAAAATCTAAGTAAATTTTCTGTAATATCCGTAGTAAAGAGTGTTTCAGTAACATAGACCGATTTTAAATATGAATTAAGTTTAAGAGTCTAATGATTTTTTTCTTTTTCCTTAGCAATTTCAACCATGGAAAGATGAACAATAAAACAACATGTTAAAGTTATCGAAGCCTATTACGAAAATGGACGTTCAAACAGAAATGCATTTCGCGATTTTCTGGTCAACATAATCTACCAACCTGAGACTACAATTGGAAACGATGTAACGTTGTTGTGGAGAGGTTCAATTCCTGCACGCGATGACGAATACAGGGGTCTGCATTTTCGGCCACATTCTCGTGCACTGCAGCAATGTTTTCAGTTGAACGGCGTAAATGAGCACGAAATTTTTACATATGCCACCGACCCAGTTTGTTTGAATTTACGGACAATTTTTCCAATTGCAGTCTTGAAACTTTAACACGTTGATTGTTAATCTTTCTATGATTGAAATTGCCAAAGATTTAAGTTGTTAAATCTGAAAGAAAAATAAAAAAAAATCATTACACGTTTAAACTTAATTAACATTTAAAATCGGGCCAAGTTATTGGAACACCCTTTTTAAAACGTCTGATTGGTACCCTTTTGTTTGATAATATGACAAAACTAAATGACTTTCTTTACGATGAGCTATTTCTGTTAGATGTTGATGATCATATTAATTTTGAAGTGTTTTAAGTATATATGCGGGTGTCTTTTTTTTTATTCTGTAATGAGAAACAAAGATTTTCCGGTTTCTTAAATGTTTTTTTTTGGTTAACACCGCCAAAAAAAAATGCATAATTTAATTGAAAAATGAAGTTACATTTATACTAAATGTTATTTAACACTCAGTCATAACAAATTTTAAATTGATATATAGATTTTATATTATCCTAAATGTTATTTAATACTATGAGAAATGATTGGCGTGGACGCAGACATAGCTGTACAAATCAAGGACAAAAGAGTTGTTTATGTTATTTGTGCCTGTTGCTCAGCGGCACTTTTGCAAATCGTTGAGTAATCACCTCTTGAATATTGTATCTTAATGTGAAATCATGAAGCAAAAGTAGTTTTATTACATTTATAACTATAGTACAGCATTATAATGAGAACTGTTTCTACTTACATTACCATACCAAAGCATGGCGCTAGCATACTAGCCTACTTACCAGTGCCGTTACAACACAGGTTATTTTTTTAAGATCTAAAGGTCGCCTTATACACGGATATATACGGTATTATTCTGTGTTGATTCGTAATTCTAGTTTTCTTTTGTTTATTACATGTTCTTTTCAGCTTTTCTCTCGTTCAAATTTCATTATACTTCTGTTACTTCTCGTCGTCTTTTCTTGACCGCTTTCCCTTAATTTTTTCTCATTTTTCGACAACTTCTGATCTTCACTCCAACTGATAAAAAAAAAAACTTTTCCACATCTCTTCCGCCACAAATTGCCCATCACATCACGGCAGCATTTCGATTACCGTTCTTTTTCCCCCCTCATCACACATCCTGCCAGAAAACAGAGACAATCAAGAACGGGGGAAGCTTTCCGCCATCTTGAATTAGGCCCACCTGATTTCAGCTGTCAGTAATCGATTTGCATCTTTGTAAATAAAGGGAGATAAGCATGCAGTTATCGTTTGTACCGGATATTAAATTACAGATACCTGCTGCTAGGTGGCGATTCAAATCAGGCAATAAGAGGAAAGATTCGCGCGTTTTCGACTGGTTTGCATTCAAGTTTGGTTGAGATGATTTGCTTTTTTGTTTACTTGGTTGCCTGCAACAAGAAAGAAAAGATAAAATTTGCGATAACCGTTAAAGATTTAGTGAGAAATACGTGTACACATTTTAAGTTTTCTTTTTGTTATATTTTAATTTATTTATTTTTGATTTCCCTGAATGTCTTGTATGCAATCAAACATCTATTGTAGGTATATTTTTAATTTTCATATAATAAAATAAATTCAGGCAAAATCTCGTGGTCTTTGAGGAATACTGAAAAAAAATATTAAAATATTAAGATCAGTCATTTTCTAATGTACTTTTTTTCATCAGACAAATGATTCTAGGCGATGCAAATTACATGGAAAGATAGTGTGCAAATTACTCTCTCTCTCTCTCTCTCTCTCTCTCTCTCTCGAAGTTTGTAACACTCTGTTTATCATCTCTCAGTTGCGTATCTCTGTCTTTGAGCAGAGTGCACTAAGGGGCGACTCCGTCAAAAGAACAGAGTCGCAACTGAGTAAGGTTATGCTGAGAGGTGTCCAGCCCTGGGGAACAGCTGCCTGAAGCCGCGCCCTCTCATTGCAACAGACAGAGGGATCAGGACTCGCACCGGGGCCAACGCAAGCGACGGTTGCGGAAGCTGCGGGCAATTTTTGTTCCTAGCCCGGGTGTACGCGCTCGGGTTCCCCACATTAAACCGACCTTGTGTCACAACCTGATCTCGTGGTGGGATGAGTAAATACAAATGCATTGAAAGATAGAATGAGAGTAAATCATGACAAATTATAAACATGAGTTTGATCACCATGTCAAAATTTGACATGTTGACATTTGGTGAATTTCAATCTAAAATTTTCACTACATTAATGAATGGACATTAGAGTATTTTGTACATTGAGCAAAATGATTTGCTTTTTACGGGTTATCAACCTTTTGCGAGTTATTTACAACCAGAAAATATTTTTAAATTCAAGAATTTATTTGAAAATAATTGTTTACTGATGTATATTCTACTAACAATCCTATAGGTGAGGAAAAGATAGATTCAAGCCTTTTCCAAGGTTATTTGCACGTAAGCAATTGGATTCCGAGCCGTTATCGATTAGACCACCCAAGCATACAAGGTTACAGCACCTGGTATTTCCAATCGGTTACCCATCTAGGTAATGACCCGGCTCGACGTTGCCTAACTTCTCTGACCATACGGTAACCGCTGTTTCTACGTGATATGACTGCAAGCCTGCACTGAGTAGAGAAATTATCTTAGAATAAGTGAATTTAGATGGACTGAGCTTGATTGAGACAATAGAAGATATAGATTTCAACAGACCGAGATTGCCAATCTATCTAGAAAATGAAATAACAGCCAAATTGAATTTTACTAAATGATCTTTTTAAGTCGCTAAAGTGACTGAATCTTAGTACGAAATATGAAATCTTGTCCAATGTGAGCAAAAAAAAAAAAAAAAAAGATGCAAAGGAACGGTATCACTTAAGGAAAATCAAAACTTTTCCGACCAGATGTCGTCGATATTCTATCAAAAGGAGACTCACAGATAATTTCATGATGTTAAGATAACAAAAAAAAATCTTAATTTCGTTTTAATGGTGACAAAGAAATGGAGATTTTTATCACAGTTAAAATAAGTTTTTGCAATTTATCCCTTAAGATAACCTTGGAAAAGATCGAAAGTAATTGGGTTAGAAAAAACCAAGTCGCCTTTCTTGATGGGAATTCATCTTAACGTCTAGAAACTGATTAGACAACTGGAAAGGCTCTATAAAATAAACACAATATGTCTATATTATTCAATGTAATATATATATATATATATATATATATATATATATATAGATATATATATATATATTGAATTTGTAGGTCTGATGAGTTGGATAGTGATTAGGATTCCAATGTAATATATTATAACCATGAAATATTAGTGTTTGATCCTTTTTATATTATATTATATTCTTGCTCTGTCCTGGACATTGAGCTCTATCTGTATTCTGTCCTCTTGGAAATTTGTATATATATATATTGACCACTAATATTATATATATATATATATATATATATATATATATATATATATATATATATCGAAATAAAAGTATAAAGCTTAATATTACGAGACATATTTAAAAAAACCGTCGAAGCAACCGGTTTCGCTCCCGCTCTTCAGGCTTCAACGGGAGATTTAAAATTAACACAGATAAATTTACAATCATTTATCTGTGTTAATTTTAAATCTCTCGTTAAATTAACACAGATAAATGTACAATCATTTATCTGTGTTAATTTTAAATCTCCCGTTAAATTAACACAGATAAATGTACAATCATTTATCTGTGTTAATTTTAAATCTCTCGTTAAATTAACACAGATAAATGTACAATCATTTATCTGTGTTAATTTTAAATCTCCCGTTGAAGCCTGAAGAGCGGGAGCGAAACCGGTTGCTTCGCCCGTTTTTAATATGTCTCGTAATATTAAGTTTTACACTTTTATTTCGATCATTAAATTTTGTACCTACAAAAATATCTTTTATATATATATATATATATATATATATATATATATATATATATCTGTGTGTGTGTGTGTGTGTGTGTGTATATATCTGTGTGTGTGTGTGTGCCTGTGTGTGTGTGTGTGTGCGGGCCTCTGTGTGTGTGTGTACACCAGCAAATTATAATACTTTGTGAAAATGAAATTATTGAATTCGGTGTTTTGACAGAATATTAATATGTACATGTAAGGGAACCAAATTCCATGATTGATATATCAATTCATCAGTGCCATAAATGTTTAATTCTCGGTGCCCGGTAAATATAATAGCACTTGTCAATTTGATTTTTTTTATTAAAATTGAATGCTGAAGAGCTCCCTAAAAGATTCTCTGGATGTGACAAACCATCCCTTTACTGGATCAGAAGAAAACGCATTGTTACTTCTATAAAATTTGGGTGGTGATGGTATACCGATATCCTACCTATGAACACTGATGGGTATGACGCAATCTTCATAAATACGTTGGACACTATTGTAAGTGGAGGTAATATGTTGTCTATGTAGTCCACCACTAGCAGTGGTTTACCTATTTCATATCGTTGGCGAGTATTGTATTTTGTTGATGTTATAAAGATTGCCATTTCATTTCCAGACTTCGTTTCAGTCATTTCTCATTCAGTAACCTTTTCTAGCTTACACCACCTAGAAATCCCTTTTCTACTAGATTCAGTAAAATATCAAACCCTCACTACGATTCTTAATATTCTGAGAAATCCTAACGCTTATGGCCAAGCACGGCAATAAGCTGAGTCGAAGATAAAAATTCTGAGCGAACTATCTGACGAATTGTAAGAGACTCAATAGACAATTCATCAAAAGATGTTCAAACCAGTTACAACAAATACATAAATCTTCCGTTTATAGCACCTTGACCTTGTTACTCTAATGTTACTACTTGTACGAACTAAGTGTAAACGCTGGAAATCATCTAAAAGTAAATGGTCAGACATCAAAGACCACAAGGATTTGGAAAATATAATCAGAAAAAAAGAAAGCTCTTTAATCATGATTACTACAGCGTTTTTGTATGATTTATAGCCAGAAACATCAAAGAAGGATTGCTCGTACCTTTGGTAATGAAGACAGCTTGATCCAAAACAGAGGAGAAAGGACAAATCTTTCATGGTTCAGTGATAAATTTCCTTTGTAATGAAGTGGCGTGCTTTGTCACCCGACTTCAATGCCATTGATAATGTTTGATGAATGATGTCAATAGATGTGTACACTGACAAAAGCGAATATTCTACATACAAGGAGAAGAAAGAAATTAACATAGATTCAAAGGAGAAAATCCATCAAGCAACTGGATTACCGAACGGAGGTTAGATCGTGCCATTCCTGACGCAATTTCAGCCATAAATTGTTAGATTTTTTTTCTAAACTGTGTTTGTTAATAAAAAGAAATATTAAAAAAATAATAAAAGAAGATTTACTTAGTTTTTATATAATTACTGAATAGCTATACTTTCATACTCTCACATATGCGTAAAAACTTCATATATTCGCCCAAAATTTCTGAAAGAATAAAATAAAAAATTGCAGTCATTTAGGAATTATTTTGAAATAAGCAACAAAAAAAACAAAAAACAAAACAAAACATAAAACAAATAAAGTAATTTCACCCCAAGCAAAGTGGAAATGACATTTGTGCGCAGGGGTTACAGTATAGAGAGGATTGAAGAAAGGACAAAGGATGAACGGAATATAGTAGCACGCTTAAATTTATGTATTCGGTGCACAAAAATGAACACACGCTGACATTATTTGGTGGTTCTTCATCTCATTCTGGTTAAACCTTAATTATTCCCCTCCCATAGATGACTGTTTTTTAGATTTTATACACGGAAATTTTCCCTTTAGCCAAATTTTATTTCCGACGAAGTGTCGAACGTAAGGCGCCTTAAGCTTTTTTTTCATCCTTGTAATTTTTTTTATTTTTGATTTAATCATTAAAATCATGGTCCCCATATTTTATATATATATATATATGTGTGTGTGTGTGTGTGTGTGTGTGTGTGTGTGTGTGTGTATATATATATATATATATATATATATATATATATATATATATATATATATATATATATATATATGTGTGTGTGTGTAAGTTTTTACGAAAAAACAAGAGGTAGAGTGTCCAACTTAAACTTAGGGTCACTCAGCCCTGTTTCTGGTCTAAGATAGCTGTCTCTTCACCGGTGGAATCCTTTTCGATTACTACTGTGACCTTACCCTACAACAATCTATCCTTTTTCTTCTTCCTCTTTTTCCTATCTTTTACTCGCTCCTTACATCCTTTCACTCTCTCCTTTTTGCTTGAAGTTTTGACATGGAGGCTTAAATATCTGGCCATTCCATAATATCAAAAACTTTAGCGGGCAACGAAAACGATAACACATTTTTCATAGCATTTTTTCGGATTACATCTCTATTTTCGTTGTCCTCTTATTATCGAGAAGTAAAAACAAGAACAAATCTATTTCCATACCTGAAGATGTCTGTAGGAGCAGACGAAAGCTTGTAAAAAATTAAAAAGACCTTATGCAACTGGAATTTATAAACAGGGATCATATCATTCATATACAGGTTCGGGGTTGGTGTATCTTATCTTGATATTGTTTGCGAAGATGTATTCTCGCCATTTAAATCATTAACCTCTATATTTGTTTTATTGTATGAATGATTCATGAAGTTATATAATATATATATATATATATATATATATATATATATATATATATATATAAAATATATAAATCAAACGGCTAGATATAAGCAAGAGTATACGCACGTGCTGGTGTGCATGCGCGGGTAAGGAAATTAATTATCCTCAAATTTATACACGACGTGTAAATATAATAGTGCCCGATGTGGTTATATAGAGCAAAGATATATGTTAATTAGTACATGTATGTGTACCTACGTTTAGGTGTGCGACTAAAGTTTCGATGGATTATCACCTCGTCGGGCACAAATGTATGTTGTTAAAAGTAAAAAAAATATGGTTTATGACAGTATCACACAACGTAGCGCAAAAATAAAATTGCACAGAAGTGTGTTAAATGAGATGTTGTTGAGTTACATTTTTAAAAACAAATCAAGAAAATTTGAGAAGAATAGAATAAAGTATAAGGTAAATCAATGATTACAAATTTAAAATTAAAGACGCTGCTTTCGCGTAGTCAATATAACGTTAAGGGTTAAAGGGGAGTAAAAAAATGAATGAAAATAAAAAAAAGAATAATGACCATGAGGAAAGAAATAGAAAAAAAAACTGTGGAAATGAGGATGAACATAAGGAAAGTAAATATAATAAATGGGAATATGAAAAAATATGTTGGGAAATAAGAAAATATAACAAATGTGAAGGAAATGCTCAGGGCGTTCTTTTAGATTAGTATAATAATGTAAACAAGCTAGTGTGGAGTATGGCACCTATATCCTAATAAAATAAGAGTGTAGTGAAGAGTGATTAGAATCTGTCAGGTTTCCAATATTTTAAGGTTTAAGATATACGGTCTTTTATGCCTACATGCAATGATTATCTCAGTCCGTTTAATAAGTAAGCTTAAGTTGTTAATATATTTGAGGATAAATCTTTTCTCTAATAGACATAAACCGCATCGTCCCTCTCTCATCGAAAAAAAAGAAGATTTTATTTGTACTACGAATTCCTATTTTTCATTAGCTGTGTAGTCATTTGATTTAATACTCCAGTAGAACTTAGAGATTGCTGTGGAGTTTGCATATTTTTTGTGATGGTAAAACGCTTTTTCCAATTGATAGAGATGGATCCGAAATAAAATTTTGTCTGGTCATTATGCATGATACTAGCCTTATATATAATTCCTTTACACATACATTTACCGCTCATAAGGGCAGAGATCACGGTTCATCAGGACTATCATTTCTACTAGTATTGTTTTAAGTATTTGTTAAGGATTACATTAATATGCAGGCCTAAATATTGTTCCAGATTGTTGGTGCAGCTGTAGCTAACTTTAACGTTGTTATTGTTGAAGCGTTTTCTCATTAAAGGAATATGACTGAAATGCTTGTGTACTAAATGTTCTACCTATGTTAGTCCTAACGTTACTATTTAAGGGTGGTTTAAACTAAATAACGTTGCGTTTTCTATTCTTAGATTTACTATTGTTATTGGGAATATACTTTAGGTAGACGTTGTGCTTGCTTTTATGTAATGCATCTACATATTTTGTTTTGTATGTATCGAAGATGTGTTTATTGCTGGGGTTGGTGGAGAATCGATATTGTACAGATTTGCGCAGATTGTTGAGTATACACGGTGGATAGTTGGATTCCTTACTAATATATGCATGATTGTAAAGTTCCTTTTTATAAAGCATAAACACTCCCCTAGATAAGTCGAACGTGGTGTCTAAGACATCTATCACCTTGGCGTTGGTGATAGTGGTGAGGTTAAATCCGTGCGCGTTAAAGAATTTTATTAGCTATTTCCTAAGCCTGTCAGATTTTTGTGGTTTGAAGTTGTGTAGTAGGATCACTTCGTCGTCCCTGTACAGCCCGGTGCTCTCACTATCGAAAATATATCAAAGCCTCCATATAAGCAATATGCCAACTAGTTCACATGCTTCTGCAGAGTCAAACGCGCCCATTGCTACAGAGAAGTTGGAATTGTCTTTATTGGTCCACAAAAAAAAACGTCATTGTATAGAATAGGCTTTTGTGCTTGAAAAATTATTCTGATATCCACGTCCGTGATGGTTCAATAGCGGCCATTAGTAGGTTTCCAGTGATCGATATGTAAAAGTTGATTATGTCGAATTGCTTAAAGGTGAACTTGTTTATATTTTTAATATTAGTGAACCAACTTACAGCATCTATGTTATTTCTACACTGATTGATAGTGAGATGTGCTGTTATATTATACAATATAAAAAGACAAATAAGGTCAGAAGACTCTGCGGGGTCCAATGATCTCATCGTGATGTCAAAATGCTCATCAGTGTTTTTAATCCACTGGTCGCCATTATGAATGATTACCGACTTTCGCATTCATAATTATGTGTTTTCCTTATCTGTTAGGTCAGAGTAAAATCCAGGGCAGTTGTGAAAAGTTCCCTTGCAAAAAGAAAGACAAAACAATACTTATCCTCTTTATATACACCCCAATCATTCTCCATCAATAATTAAGCATATACCTTCATCTATCGAAAAAAGAATAAGCACTAATTCTGCAAATGAAATAAAATATTTTATGAACATAGCAATTTCTATGATAAAGCTCTAAAGGATAGTAGCTATTAATGTCCAAAGATTAATTAAAATATAATAGAAACCAAAGAAAAAATAGAAATAGAAAAAAATCATTTGGTATGCACACCCATTCAACAAAATGTTAATAAGTAAACTAAAACAAAAATCCATTGCATTAATCGAAAACCATTTTCCTAGAAAGAGTAAACTCAGCAAAATTTTTAATAAAAATACCTTAAAAATAAGTTACAGTTGAACTGAAAACTTAGAAAAGACTATTAAGAAACATAATGCCAAAATTATGAATAAATACTTATACCAAAGTCAAAGAAATATAGATCCTGAAATATGAATAAACGAAAATAAAGAAAAAATATGAAATTGTAGAAATCTTGAAAATAGTCTTCTGAATAATGAATGTCTTATAAAATCCGTAGTTTATCAATGCAATATCTCATCTATTGAGAATCCTAATGATGTTAAGGTCTATTTAGGATGTACAAAGAATGTATTTAAATTAAGATGGAGCCAACACCAAAGTTCCTTTACTAATACTAAATACTGCAACCAGACATCATTATCTAAATATTTCTGGCACATAAACCAGTAAAACACCAAGAGTAAAATGGAAATGAATAAAGAACTTGTACATCTTTAAATGACCCATGTCCTTTGTGCATACATGAAAAGTTGAATATTATTAAATTTCTGAAAAAAAAAATTATTAAATCAAGGAAAAATTAGCGAGTTTTTGTAGACATTTCCAGTTTTTTCCTTAAGTAAAAGATAATTTATTTTTTAAAAATGAAACTAACATATTTATATTTGTTCATAAATAAAATAATTTATGGATACATAATTAGATTCTAATATATTAATTTGAACATTACCATATAGATATTCAGTTAGTAAATAAATTAAACATATCTTAAGTCGGTACGCATAAAAATATAAATATTAAAAATGTGACTAAATAATATTTGAATGCCCCTTTTGAAAAAAAAAATGTAATTGAAATTTATATAAAAATAAAAATTAAATAAAAAATAAAAAGTAAAAATGCCAAATTTATTGCTATTGAAACCCAGACGATGAGTTGGAACATAGACACTATCACAAATTTTCTACTTGAAAAAAGGAAGCTTGTATCAATAGACAGATACTCCAGCGCCCACCTTGACTTGACCGACTTAATAGCTACAATAAATTAAATACATCAATTTTTTAAATAAGTTAAATCTTAACACCTCTAAAATAAAAAGATGGAATTTTCTTTAACCCCAACATCTCAAAATACGAAATTTGTCTGGACTTATAAATTAAGTAAATCAATTTCTAAAAGTTATTCTTAGCATCGCTTTTCCAGTTTTCATTTATCGTAGGGGCCCCGACATCAAGAAAATACACCTTAGACAACATATAGAGGAATTCAGAGGACAAAATCTGCCAAATTTTAGTGTCTTCCTATTTTAGCAGTGCGACTACAGAATCACTGAACAAAGGTGGATAAATAAGGAAACATTTTTCATCAACAACTTTAAACCCATATTTAATTCACTGCAGAAGTAAGACTCTACCAAATTCCCCTCATCATAAACGACATATATAGCCAGTTACGCCCCTTTATTTTCATTTTTTTTTTTCATTGTTACAAAACATAAGCATCAACACGTGGAGATAGAAACAGTTAAAGACTTTTTGAAAAGCTAAGCGAAACTGGTTAAAAAGTTTTTAAAAAAAGGAAAAAATCAAAATTATTTTTCTAAGAAAAAAAAACCCACTGAAAATCCAATTGTAAGTAACAAAGTTTTAATTCTTTTCTGTAAAAAATCATATATTATAAATAAATATAACTATATATATATATATATATATATATATATATATATATATATATATATATATATATATATATATATATATGTGTGTGTGTGTGTGTGTGTGTGTGTCTGTCTGTGTGTGTGTGTGTATGTATAGGTGTGTCTCCATTTGAATATATTTATATTTTACAATATTAAAAAACGGAAACTCCGACCCAAGAAAAAAATAAGTCACCAATATTTTCATGGTATGTCTACCGTAAACTGTTTCTTATGAATTCCAACCCATTTGATAATTGTCC